TGAACGTCCATCATTTCTTATTGTACATCGGATATCTCCGCATTACCTATATGAAATGCAATTATCTTGTTGTACATATCATAATAAACGATACATATATTTTATATATACCTGAATGTGAAAGTTGTCCACTAGGTATTGAAGATAATATGTATGGTGAGCTCCGGAAAAACGGCAAGAATGGACTTAAGAAGTCCCGAGTGTCTATCTAGAAAATAAAAATGTATTTATTTCAATTATCGACCATCAATATGAAAAATAGACCTAAACCTCCTGCAAAATCATTCCAAAATTTTATTATTGTTGGCAAAAATCGTTGCATAAGTATAAAAAATTAACATTATCCCATATATAAACACATAAAATAAATACCAAGATTGATATATGAATAGTGTATATACCAATAAATCAGGGTATTTTCAGAAAAATGTAACATACGATATCAAACAATATAAGTATAAAATTAATAAATATAGGTATATTACACCGAAAAAAATGTACTCATGAAAAATGTCCACGTATACTAACAGTGCAGAAAATTAATAAATTACTTTTATTGATTCACTTCTGCCAATTTTTTAAATAACTTGTATTTTTAATAGTTTAAATTTGTAAGTGAAACAGTTATTTTTATATTTTTGAGTCTCATTATTTTTCTTAAATTCTAATTATTTTCATTACAAACCAAAAACTTCTTTAATTGTATATTCTCTTAATTTTTATCTTTTGTATCTGTCATCGTTTGTCATCATATTATTCAGCAAAATTGGTATATACAAAAATAAATATTAATTGATTCTTTATTGTATTTCTATATTAAATTATTTATTTTGTCAAATATAAAAGATTAATTTTAATTTTTCTGCAATTTGTTTTGTTTTTTTTTTTTTTTTTTGTCAAACTAAAATGCAAATATGGAATTGTGTTACAGAAGTGAAGAAATGGAGAATCGACTTGCTCTAGAAACAAATTGAAACTTTTGCACTTTCATATTTTTAAAAAAAAAAAAAAAAACTCTTATGATAATAAAATTGTCAATGTTTGTGGAGATAGAAATGCTAACAACAATCTGGTTTACCTAATAATTTCTTTAATAATATATATTTCAACATCAACTGGTGCACCAAATTGTCTTAATTAAAAAAAATTACTCCCTCCGTCCTATATCTATATATCAATTTATTTTTTATACAAAATTTTAGAAATATTAATATTATATTAGAATAAAGTAGAAATAAAGATAAAAAGACTAAATTAACCTTATTAGCGAACTAGAATATTAACAGAGGGGGTGCAAAATTTTTAAATTTACAAAATAAATTTTTTATTTGTAAAATAATACTACTATCATCCACTTAATAATTTTATATTTACTTTTTGCATACTAATATTAAATATTAATTATTACATCAAATATAGTCCAAATAAAAAAAAACAATCTTTTTTATTAGTAAATATTGATATATTATATTTTGGAAAAAAAAAAAGTAATGCACTTTCTTATTAAAAAAAATAATATTTTGATGTTTTTATTATTATCTTTTTAGTTTAAATATTTTCTATAAATTATATATATTATTCTTTTAAAAATAAAAAGATTTAATAAAATAGGGTAAAAGTGGGGTTGGGGTGGCCACTGCTTATTGGTATCGTATGATATAAACTCAATGACATTTGTGTAATATATTGTAAATTGAAAAGGTATTTATAATGTTAGGTAGACAGTATAATTACTAAAAAAAATAGATATTTTATTATGAAACGGACCAAAATAAAAAAAAATAGATAGATAGTTAAGGGCGAAGAGACTATATCTTAATAATTACAATTCACTGCACATATATATATAGCAGTTTAGTATTTTTAATTTAAAAAAAAATTTAAATATAAAATATTATATCGATAATATAAAATTTAATATTTTATATAAAATATTATATTAAATAAAAAATTAGTTTGATAACCATAAATTTTATACATTTTGTCCCCATAAATGAATGAAACTTGCAATTGCAATTGTCAGTGCAAAATTCAATAATATTAAGTTTGCTTGTTTGGGGGATTGAATTAGATTTGCACTATTCATCCAATTTTTTCCTCTAAAAAATTTCAAATCAAAAACCTATTTTTATTTTTTATATTATACTAAAAATTAATTTTACATTCAAAACATCAAATCAACACTTATTTATATCACATCATACAACTATTCAAATTTAAAATTTTTATTATTCAAATCCCAACTCAAAATTCATAACCCCAAACAAACACACCCGAAATGTAAAGCCTGCTACATTTAGTTAGGGTGGTTTCACCTAATACAAAATTTTAAATATTTTGTTATAAATATTATCAAAAAATTACAATAACATATTCATACATAAATTCTATTAAAATATATTAGGAAGTTGACATTTTATTTTAAGTATCCAATTTTCTATTATTATTATTATTACTATTATTATTGTTGTTGTTGTTTCATCCATCTTATTTTTATATGTTGTTTTAGTCTTTGTTGCATCTCATTCTTTTTTTTTTTTTTTCGAAAAAGGTTACATATTTAATTATATTAGTATAATTTTCTAAATTTTACTATAATTATTTTTATTAATATATTTTAAATTATTTAATAATTATGTAATTTCTAAAATTTTATATATATAATGTATGAGATAGTATTATTTACTCTTTTGATATTATTTTAGCAAGTTATATTTCTAGTTCTAATTTTGATTTATTCTTTTTTGTTTGAAATTGATTTGAAATAAAATATTAAATTTAAGATATTTTTTTAATTAATATTTTGATATACTAATATTTTGTAATAATAAAATAATTTATTTTGATTAGAATGAATAATATTGATTTTCCTTTGAAATGATAAAAAAAACAAACCAATATATAAATATTATTCTTTTATTTTCAATTGAAATATCTCTTTGTTATTTTTATTTATTTATTGTTGTTTAAAGTATTAAATTTTTATCGTACTATAATAATTACATATCAATATTTAATTTTTTGATTGACTCATATTTGTAAATAAATAATAAAATAATGTTCAATAAATAATTAAATAGTATCGTATTCTAATCGTTTAATCTTTTAAGTAAAATGATTATTACAGATTTAATTTTTAATTGAAACAGTTATTTATTTCATCTAATAAAAATATTTTTAATTTTAAAATAAATTAAAAATCAAAAAATAAATCAAAAATAATCTTACAACTAATAAAACACTTATATTTTTTTAATTTATTAAAAAAATTTCAAATCTATACTATGGTCGGAATAGAAGGAATACCGTTATGATAATTTATTATTTCTTCCGTCCCAAATACCGTTTATGCTACAACAGTATAGATACGGTATTTTAGAAGAGGTGTAATTAGTAAATAATTAAGAATATATTAGTGAAAATAATTATTTTATAATATAAATAATTATAAATTAAGATTAACATAACTAATTAGTTTAATTAAAATTAAAAAAATAAAATAAAAAAATTTAAAATGAGATTAAAGTGTAATCATTTAAAAAAAAATGACATGACACGGACAGAATCGGCAACGTGGACGTAGTATCTCCACTGAGGCAGTAATTTGTTTTACTAGAAAAAAATTTGGGAACCGGTTGCAGAACCCGACCCATATGAGGAAGTGGGCAAAGTCAGCGACCCAAAGAGACGGCCGCCGTGGCGGTGGCCTCCGGCGACTGTGAGGGAGAGGGAATTGGCTAAGGTGATGTGCGGTGGCGAGGAGGTGGCTGCAAAAGCGGATCTCGTCGGTTAAAGCTCCAACGTAATATAACAAAGCAGCAATGCCGGTCACTGCTCGGCGGTGTCGCGTGGGTGCAAATTTGCGACGACGATGCGCCGCCGTGGTTGTGAAAATGACCTAGTTTAATAAATTGAGAATTCGAGGTAACTTACTGACTATGATTTGATTTTAAGAGTTTTTTCTGTTGAGACTGTGCTGCGTTGTTGATTGCTGATTTTGGGATTTAATCACTTGTCGAACAAAGCCATGAAGGCTGGTGTTGTTATGTCTGTATGTAGGTTAAATAAAATCCATGATTTCTCGAATGCTTGAGGATCTTGTATGTAGTTCCACTTTCGCTCATCGAATGTCCTTACCATATGTTAGAAGCTCACTCGTCGTCCTCCGATGAAGAAATTACTGATGCATAACATTCTTTCAATCTGACCTTAGGTCAAAATTGGATCACTCTTGTCCAAATTTTGATCCATCTTGGCAATGTCTGTTCTCTCCAATTCTTGTCTTTCAATCTCTGAAAAAATTGCATATGAATTCTCCATACTTTTTAGGATGCTTCTGATATTGTTGGCTTTTGCTGAAGCTAACTCTCTAGTGGCTCTTGAATTTGCATTAATGTCTAAAAATTTTTCTACCTTTAGTTGTGATCTTGTTCTAATTATGGTCTAATACCAATTTTCTTCGAAGGGGCCGAGGTTTTTGATTATTGAGTTATATTGCAGCTTAGTTGTTTATCTATTGAGGCGGGCTCGGGTTTATTCGACGATTAGTTGATTACTAAGATCGTTGAGAGTATGTTGATTGGTCTGTCTTCATTCTACTTTCTTAGCCGAGTTTGAATGAATTTTTCTGTGTAGTAGTCCCGCGACAAGAATTTTTATTGCTACCGATTTTCTTTTGTCAAGTGAATTGCTTTTAGTCAAAACCAGAGAGATTCGAAGGTAGGAAATAATTTGATAAGCTGAGGATACTAAACACAAATTCCGAATCCAAAAGTAGAAATAGACTACTCTCCCTTAGTCCACGAGTATCGGGTTCTTATCCATTCATTATTACTGTCTTTCCAGCGAGTTTACAATGCTTTTTTTTCATGGAATAACTTCCGCCTTTCTGGGTTGAAAAGTCACATCTAAACTAGACATCTTGTGGTGATTCTATTTACGTGCATGGTAATATGTGACCGTTGTGTTTCAAGATTATTGCCGTAATTAAAAACAGGAGATAATACCATGATGATAGATTAAGATCAATAAAACAAACAGAGTGAATAGTCATTCGAATTTCTGAAACACAAAAACCATTTCTAAGAACACTTTGCGCGATACATTTATGAAGGAAAGAGAGTTAGAAATCGTCATTAGGGAAGTATTAGCCGAACTCAATCATTATGCCGCTAAGGTTTCTCCATTCCTCACATTGCTCCTCCTGCAAAGTAGGAATCATAAGAATATCCCATTACATTAGATTTAAGAACATTCAATTTTGTGTGTTCATCTCGATCATATAGATATATATATATATATATATATACATAGCTTACCGAATTCCCTGGCTGTCTTACACTTATAGCACTCTGTTCTTGACGCGTAATTATGCGTGCTGCAGCCCGGTCTGCACACATGTTGAGCTTATGATCAAGTTTTACTACACATTTGACAATTCTTGTTTTATTTTTTATTTTTTAACTATGTAAATCCCGATGCTATATTCTGATTGCCAGATTGACTACCTGGTGCAAATCCAGTCGCCGGCTTTCCAACCAGGAATGGCGATGTCGGGATAACCAGCAGACGCCATTAAAGCAGCACCATAGCCGGAGTACTCCTTAGTCGCGCCACACCTGTAGCAGTTTGCTCGGCTAGCGTAATTATGAGCTCGGCAATTGAGAGCGCCGCAGTACCAGTCTCCCGGCAGCATCTCAGGCTGCGAGTACAGCGAGACATCGCCCTCAGCAGCGTATTTAGGACAGCAACATCGGTGGCACGAATCGCGCTTCTGGAAATTGAGATGGCGGCACGCAGCACACATCCAGTCCCCAGGTCTGCTGCTCATTGTCTCTTTCTCTAAAAGATAATAATAATAATAATTATTATTGTAAAAATGAAAGAGTATTGTAGTGAGATATTTTGTTTATAGATTTTGTAGATGGCAATGTTCATGCAAAAGAGTCAATGCTTTATGTATTAAGAAAACTGAGGTTAAAGAGTCAGCATTTTCTCTCTCACCTCTGAAGTAAAGAGCAAAAGCAGTATCTGCAAGAAGTGGCAATGCTTCAAAAATGTGTGATTTTGGACAATGGAAGATGATGTGGTCTTATATACTACTAGAACCCTCCATTTTATTTTTTATTTTTTATTTTTTATCTTTTATTTTATATATAAATATATATATATATATATGTATATTTATATATTTTGACAACGTGGGACATACATTACATCAGTTGGATGAGTTATATTAGACAAATCTTATGTGATAAAACTCCAACTAAGAATGTGTTGGTAGAATCAGAACAATTGACCTTAAAGTCACCAATTACCTATTCCAGACAGATTTACATTGGGGCAACCTGTCCTATTCCATTTAATATTTATTATATTATTATTATTATTTTAAAATATGTGCATACATATATATATATATATATATATAGAAAAATAAAAAATAAAAAAGAAATAGAAGAAATGTTGAAAATCTTAAAATATGTTACTTTGTTTTAATTTTACAATATTCTAAAAAAAATTATCTAAAAACTTACATGAATTTTATATATTATATATATATATATAATAATAAAAATCATTAAACATAAAAAATATTCCCTCTTATACTAATATTTTTAAGATTTTCTATATTTCATAATAAATATACTTGAAATTAAAAATACTAAACAATTAAACTCTTAGTTGTGAGAGTGTGACAATTTTAGTAATTTTTTAAGAACGTTACCGTTATGATTTATTATTTATCATTATTTTTAAAACATTACAATTGAAAAAAATACAATTAAAATATATATCATTATTGTTTGTGGGTTCGAAGGTTTGCATTTGGATTTCCGAAAAAGTAAAAAATTGAATTTGATTAGTTGTTTGATTTGACTTTGATGTGATATTTTGAATGTAAAATATATTTGTAGTATAAATTTGAATAATAAAAATCTTTCGAAAGAACACAATTATATGTCTTTTAATCCCTTACTCGGATTATAGTTCACCCAGCCTATTACACCAACTCGAACACCCTTTAGTAGACATTTTATTTATATTTCTGATTGTGATTGTTGTGTGGGCATATGGAATTTCAAAAGCTAATAATTCTTAAAGCTTTTAGATAGAGAAACTCTCTCTCTCTCTCTCTCATGTGGAGATGTGGAGACTCGTAGAGGATGATGATGGCAACATGGAATGAATTATTAGCTTTTTCTATGATTCTATATATTATTGCATTATTGGAATTGACAAGATGATCAGTTGGAACATCGAACATTATTCTGTATTCCTTGGCCATTTCAGGTCAGGTGCTATGAGGGGGAGCTCCTATATATGTTTTTTTCTCGACCCATCAAAATTTAACATGATATCAGAATGGAACCCATTGCTCGTGCCGAAGCTTTTAATTTGCTCGAGCTATATGTTCATGAGAGCATTCTACTTATGTAGAGTTGCAACAAATTAACACAAATAGAATTGTAATTTGATCATATTTTGAAAATTGTATGTCGACTCTATATATTGACGAGTTACAAAAAATCAACTATAAGATTATTAATCCATACCTTCAAAGAAAGGTGATAAAGTTGAAATTTTCTCTTCCTATATATTTCTTTATATTGTTAAAATATACTCCCTCCATCCCAGAACTATAGGCTTAATTCGATTGGGCACGAGATTTAAGGAATATTGATATTATATTGGTAATTAGTAAAATGTATGGATAAAAAACTTTTTTTGCCCTTGTGAGTGCATTATTGTAAAAAGTAGAGGCAATTATGTATTAAAAATGAAAAAGCATGGGTAGTTTTACGATGATATAGTTATTTATGGAAATAAAACTATTGTTTTGAGATGGACAAAAATAGTAAATAAGACTAGACTATTGTACTGTGACGGAAGAAGTATTTAGAATATATAATTATATTTATGCTAGTTGCCTTAATGATTTCTTGAATTGTAATTTGAAATAGATGGTTGATTGGAGTTTTTGTTGTGATATATAAATTATTAAAACCCAAAAATTGAGTTATTATTCTTCATAACGAAAATAGAGATTATAAATAGGCATAATATTCGATGGACTTACACTTAAAGGGATAAAATTAACATATAAAACAACTAAATTCAATCTAAAACTATATGGTATGAACCGCAAAAACTATTCTTTCGATGTGCATTAAGTAAACCTCATACTTGAGCATAATAACCTGCAAACCAACTCATACTTAAGTTTACAATATATATATATTTTTATAACGTGGGAATCCGCAATTGTTATCCATCGGGGGTGCGTCTGGGTGAATTCGGTCAAACCTAATAGCCTGCAAACTACATTCGACTAGGCAAAATCTGACGGTGTCAGAATTTGAACCCATGATTCACGATCATAAGTTCATCTCTATGCCACGAGGTCATCCTTTACATTACATTACTATTAAGTTTAAAATAATTTGATTGATAGAAAGAGAGATACCAAAGAGAATCAATCTTGAGAATAATATTAGTGTAAAGGTTCCTATCTAAAACAATAACAATAATAATGGAACAAAAAAGGAATGAAGGGGTTGGGATAGAAACACATGGAGCTGAGTTGGAGATGACAACAATGGCACAATTCGATTCCCACCCGACGGCTCGAGCCATCAATCTAACTTAGAACTCAACTTTTAATTTTCTATGGTTCCATTCAACCTCGCTAGCTGCCGCAACTAAAACATTCAAAGAAGTTCTCATGAGAATCAATTCGATCTTGATCATCCATATGTGTATCGTCATGTATATTTCGGTAGAAGAGGTATAATGAGGAAGAAGATAAAAATACTTTCCTTTTTTAGTAACTATACTTTCTACTAATATTAAAAATACTCTCACAATTTACAATATATTACGCAAATGTCAGTACCTTTTATATCAGACAATACTGATAAAGTTATTTTAGTCTTTTCTGCTGTATTCATACCGCACCCTAATATAATATTAATATTTCTAAAACTTCGTACAAAAATAAACAAATAAATAGATAAGGAACGGATGGAATAATAGATAAGAAAATCGAGAAAATATATGTAAGCAAACAAGTTTTAATTTAACTAGTCGGTATTTTGTATATAATATAAGTGTCATCATACACAAAATATATATTTCAGAATAATTATACTACTTTTCTTTTTTGATTGTCACCTATATTTATGCATAATCTGTTTATAGGAAATAACTTTATCTATCTACAATATAGTTACCTCTATTTTGACAAATTAAACTAATTGCTATTATTATTATTATTTTACTTATCTCACTACTTTATTATTAACCCTTCAATAAAATTTCTATAATATTCACATTTTTTTTACCTATCACATTTTAAGTTAAAATATTATTCCCTCCGTCATTCAAATTTATGCTCTTTTTTTTTTTGAATTATCATAAAAAATATTCTCATTTCATTTTTTAAGTAAAAAAATATTATATTTTTTTATTTTTTTTACTATAAAAAGAAAAAATCACAATTATTACTCACTTTTATTAAAACTTGTATCAGATCAAATGACTACATATTTGCATGATAAATGGAGTATTATTTGAAGTATCCGTGTCGTGGCATTGTGGCATAGTACTCGAGAGGGAAGGGGTAATATATAGAAGCAACACTATTTCACTTTCAATAATACAATGCATCTCAAACATGAATTCAATTTCAATAGATTGAATTAAAGACTGATACATAATTAATATTTCAAAACCAATACAATATCGAATTTTTCTTATGAACACCAGAATATTCGAGTCTATGTATATATATATATATATCTATGGAAGTGATGAAGGAATGTTTCATTTAATTTAATTAATTTGTGATACTAATTCATTGAATGGGCAGATTCCTTTTGGAGTCCATCAATGGCCATTTGATCAATTGAAAGTGGGATTGCATGCATTTGCAGCCAACTCTATTTAATTTGATTAGTAGCCCTTCATGCATGTATGTTCAAAAGTTGCCTTTATTTCCAAATAATTAAAAAAAAAAAAAAATGTAATCGAGGTTCTTCGTAGAAACATAAAAACACTACTGCTAATTTGTGTGGATATAATATATATATATATATATATATAAAAGCATGATGTGAATCAGATCAGACAACCTTTTACTACTGTTTATGCTTGACAGTTCCTTCAACAGTTCAGAAATACTGCAATAATTCACAAGTATGAGATTCCTTGGACCTTCTGAGCCCCATTATACACTTGTCCTAGCTTTGGATCTTTTGGTTGAGTTTGGAAAATTTTGGTTTGGGTTTGTTATTAAAATAATATTTGATGCAATGTTTTATGAGAGAAAAAAATATTTTTTTTTTGAAAAACTCAGAGTTCAAATAGTAAAATTTAAAAAAATTGGTCTAAAGAAACAAGTTTTAAATTTTTTTGAAAATGATAAAGAATTAAATATTTGATACGAGGGTTTATGAGAAAAAAAAATACTATTTAATTTTGATATTTTTTTAGTTATCATTTTTTTTCTAAAACTATCAAATCGATTATTTGTTTTTAAAAAAATTAATTTTGTGTAGATAGTTTTTCAAAAATTGGTATAAGTAGAACTCAAACATCTCCCTTCGATACCGTGTTAACTTAACATTTTAACTAAAAGTTTTAATTAGTAGAAAAAAATACATAGTTAGTTATATACTCCCTCCGTCCCACATACAGTGTCTCTTACACGGTAGACACGGTATTTTAGAAGGGGTGTAATTAGTAGATAATTAAGAATGTATTAGTGAAAATAATCATCCTATAATATAAATAATTATAAATTAAGATTAAGATAACTAATTAGTTTAATTAAAATTTTTAAAAAAATAAAATTAAAAAGTTTAAAATGAGATTAAAGTGTATAATCATTTTCCAAAAATGATATGGTATATGAGACGGACAGAAACGACAACGTGGACATGGTATGTGGGACGGAGGGAGTATTATATAGTCTTTCAACAATGCGAACAAACTCAAAGCACACATAAAATAGTGAAGAAACCAGAGCAAATTTACTGAAGAAAAATTGATTAATTACTCTTGTTTGAACTTCAATAGTGAGTCAATACCATTTAAGTTGATTAGTTCATTATGGGTTGTAAATCAACGTAGCAAGAAAAGTAAAATACACTTACATACGAAGAATTTATGTTCAAATCCAAATTGAGAAAAATAACGGAAGTATTAGAAAAAAAATCGGTGAGTTTTAATGATGTCTAAAAAGTCGGGAGATGAATGCGAAAAGTTAAAGCAACCAAAACAAATCAATTCAATGTAGGTAGGATTTATCTTGTACAAAACCTCAAAATCAAGAATTGCAAACAATGCAATATAAAATACTAAAAAAAAAAAAAAACAATAAAATAAACGACGAATTTGTACCCATTTTAAGCCTTTATCAAATAAGAGTGAATCAAAGTTCGTAAGTCCTCTTTTGAAAACCTTGCTCGAACAAGTTCATTATAAACATAGGATAAAAAAAAAAAAAAAAAAAAAAAAGGAGTGACTTCATTTCTACGAGCAAATTCTTGTCAACAATCTTAACAATTCTTGATCATATTTAATTGATGGTTATTTATAAAATTTTAAGATGAAAAAGGGTGTTACATCCTATGTTTTGAATAAAAAATAAATAGCGATTATAATTTTTAAAGAAAAAGTTGTCATGCATTCCAAATGAAATATATATAGTCCGATTTTTACTTCAATCCACTCTTATTTTCAAAACAAGCAATTCGGAAGATTTTATCAGAAACATATGGAATTAAATGTCTCTACTTTTGAATCATTCATGTGAAAGACATCTACATTGATCTTGTGAGATGATAATTTCATCTAAAAGCTCAATTAGTAAAAATAGTCATTTAACATAATATCAGAACAAAAGATCTCATGTTAGAGTAATATTGTGTGGCGTAAGTGCATTTTTTCCTACTAATTTAAATTTTTAGATGAAAGAATCGTTTAACATAGTATCGGGCAGGAAATCCTTTCTTCATATGACGTAAGTTCACCTTGCATGTGAAGAGTATATTGAAATATTATATAATATGTAATTAATAACATATTTTTCTAATTGATTAAACTTTTTAAGTGAGAGATAATCATTTAACAGATTCTTGCCTAGCTGAATAAATTTTATAGATCACCAAATATGATAGAAAGTGAACAAAATTTATTAGTAACAATTATGCTTTCATGCGAGGAACATCGCGTGCAATACAAATCTTCAAAGATACAATGGTAATGAAACGAATACACGACAAAATCAAGTGTGACACAAACCTATATCTAGATTGCTCAAAACAAAAAAAAAAAAAAAGTCGAAATGTTTAGAGATAGAAACCGAGGGGAACTCCTAAATGGTGAAGGGAAGCCAATTCTCATCAATCTTGCAATCTCGTCTTCGATGGTGCATTATTCTTACATTGCTCTTCCTGAAACACAAACCATGGGATTAAGAACACAAACACCATTCTGATCAAAAACAAAAAAAAAACACAAACACCATGACAAGAAATATAATATGCTCACATCAAAGAGTTGATTGAATGAGTCGAATCAGTAAAATATTGATTTGACTAAGTTAATATATATATGGCAAAAAATACATAAATGATAACAAATGATTATACAATCTATATCATACATTCTAATAATAATATACAATATCACCACAATGAGCACATATATATACCATACAAAATTATATACTATATAGAATCATATATTATCTGTCTTGCAATTAGAATATTGACTGAATCAAATCAATACCATGTTGTCAATAAACAGTACGACGATTGCCAATATAAATAATCAAGAACTTATATATATATATATGTATGTATATGAGAATGTATGAATATATAGGTTAGGTTAGGTACCGAAATCTTTAGGTGTCTTGCATTTGTAGCACTCAGTCCTGCAAGCATAATTGTGCATTTTGCATCCCATTCTGCATGTGAATATATTAACAAATATTGTCATTCCAAATCAACCATAACATTCTACAATGCCTAATTAATTACCAACATTTATTATTATTATTATTATTTATAAAATAGGAACTCGCACCCGCTATCAACATTAATTACCAATAGTTATTATATATATATATAGATGAAGGTTATTGATGTGCTTAATGCAAAAAATTTATAAGTTTGAACCCCTGAACTTACCAAAAAAAATATATATTTTTGCATAAATATATTAAATTATCTTTTAATTATAATAGATTTATTATCTTATTTTATTTATATTTTCTTCTTCTTTATCTGCCACTACTATGCTATGAAAAATCTACATTCAATCCCCCATAATTCAGGGGTTGGTTCAGCCATTATATATATATATATATATTCTTTTCCTTGGATTATTACAACCCCAATGCAAATAATTACTTCAGAGCGCACTCGAAGAATAGCGGCGACGGATTTTTATATTATAAAAAAAAAAAATTAATTAATTAATGAAGATGTACTAATCACCTATTGCAGATCCAGTCGCCGGCTTTCCATCCGGGGATAGCGACATCTGGATATCCGGCGGAGGCCATCACTCCGGCCCCATAGCCACAACATTCTTTCGACACGCCACATCTGTAGCAAATTGGTCGGCTAGCGTAATTGTGCGCGCTACAATTAGGCATGCCACAGTACCAGTCTCCGGGCAGCATCTCGGGTGTCTTTGGGGCCGAGTGGGCGTAGACATCAGCCTCGGAGGCGTATTTAGGACAGCAACATCGGTGGCAAGAATCGCGCTTTTGGAAATTAAGGTGGTGGCATGCAGCACACATCCAGTCTCCAGGTCTGCAGCTCATTGTGATCGATGACAATTCCTGCAGATTTTATATACATCGAATTAAAGAAATTGAAGAACAGAGGAGATTGATTATGAATAAGTAATAACCATTTCTTTGGATATATATATATATATGTAAGTATATCTATTTGCACTCACCTTCGACTTCGAGAGAGAATTTAGGAAGAAGTGATGCAATGTAATCCAAGAAATTATGTGTGGTTTTGGAGAATTCATGTGATTTGGTGGTCTTGTATATATACTACTCACTACAGTATAATAATTTGATTTAATTATTCTTTTATTAGTAATTGTGTACTTTTTTGTTACTTTACACATTTTATAGTAAAATGTATATATATAGATATATAATAAAATAATATTATTTGTTTCTAAAAACAAGAACATATCTATTTTTTTTACACAAAGAAAGAAAAGTAAGTTTTTTTAATATAGTATGTCATTTATAGAAATTATAATAGCTATATCGTAAAAAAAAAAAAAAAAAAACAATTAAATTCCCAAAAAAACCCATCTATAAACAACTTCAAATAATGTTTTATCAAAATATTTTAGTACAAATAATTAATATATATATAGCTAATTAAATCAATTAGTTTAATCATCTAACTATACAGGGCAGAACGGGCTGGGGCAGTCGACCCCCCCCCCAAAATATGAATATATTTGTAGTATAAAAAATAATAAAATTATGCATTTTCTATTAAGTTATTCACTTGATATTTTTTCTTTTTATTGGAAAAAATAATAATAAAATTTTTATAGTTGTGTTGATTTGCACTTTTTCTTTTAATTTTTTTTAAGTAAAAAAATATTAAAATTTATATAATTCTATTGAATTTATCTTTAAATATTTAAGTTTTATTCTTTTTTATCTTTGTATTTACCCGGTTGTGCCAGAAAAAGTCGAGAATATTGGATCAGTAAAAATAAACTGATATTTTGCATTCCTCCACCGAATTTTACTTCTGGTTTCATCAGTGGTCGCATAAAAACTAATTGCCAAACATCTCGTAAAATTGTTAGCATTGTCTCTCTTTCACCTTGTGTGCATACAAAATAGCATTTTGTGACTTATAATATATCGCCTGTTAATACATTTGCAACATAATAATTTTGTTATTTTCTTTTTCATTTATTCTGCAATGTTAACTTTCACAATTTTAAAAATATGAAATGGATTATTATTTTTTTCTCATAAAATACTATATTAAAATATTGTTTAATCAAATCAATTCATAACACAAAAATAAGGGCAAAGACAATACAATAGCGTAAAATATCGAAGGACTTTGTTTATAATTTTTTTTTTCATAATTTAATCTATTACTAATTAATACTCTATATATCATATTATTACATTTAATCCTTTAATTTGTTTTGTAAGATAATTTGAAAAAAAAAAATTTATGTGAGGTACCATGATTGTGTAAGAGAATATAAAAATAATTAATATACGTAAACTATTAATATTTTTTTAAAAACGTGTATTCTTTTTTAGGTGAAAGAACACACCATTAGTTTTGCTTAAAAACCTTTTAGATAAAAAAAGATAAAGACATGTAAACATTATTTTGTTTATGAAAAAAAAAAAAAAAAGTTCTTACTTGCCATTGATCAAGTAAAACCAAAATTAGTTTATCGTGTTTCATATCCGAGGTATGATTTCATTACAAATGAGTTCGTTGGCCCGATAATTTTGATAGAAGTAGCTTAAAATTGACCGGTCGCAATCACAATATTCCACAAATGGTTTCAAAAAAGATAGATTCCAAAGGATAACTTTGAAAGTTGAAGAAAGAAAGATAAATTAGTTTCTATCGATGTTTCCTCGCCTTTTTTTTTTCTTTAGCTTTTTTAGATAAGAGGAGACACGGAGAAGCTAAGACGATTCTAAAATAGTGAGGTAAGGAATAGTGCATGCATGAATGAATGAATTGTTAGATTAAAAGTAGGTCAATAATGTGTGTATTTTAATTTAATGAATCCAAAGAGTTTCCAAAGCTAATATGATTCCATATTCTCATCACATTTCTAGCTAAGGTTTCATGCGGGGAAGATGTTATTTGTTCATAAAGGTTACGACGGTAGTTACAGTACTGATTAAGTTTAAATATTAATAAAAAATATATATCATAAGTAATTTCAGTACAAGCTTGCATGTAAATATAATACTACATTAGTCCATTAACTAAGTATTCATTTGTTTTTTGCGTTTTGAATTTTAAATATTAATATTATATCTATACGTAGTATAAATTTAAAAAAAAAACAAAAATACCTCTATTAGTGTTATATAATACAAATGTAATAACATTTGTATAAAATATTAAGTACAATGACGCAAAAAATAAATAAATACTTTATAATGGACGGAGGGAGTAGATATCCTAACATAACATTACATAATAATCCATACAACACATATGTCTATCGATTTCAACACATAACACAATATATAATATTAACCGACAATATATGACAATAGTACAAATAACACATGTTGTATTAATTTTAATAATGTGTTGTATATACTATTACCATATACTGATTAGCTCTAATCAACATTGTAATCGATCTCATATATATATATATATGTACATATATATCTTAGTAGATGTTTCTTTGTCAATATATTTGTCTTTCTTTTTTAAGTAATAACATGGATCAACTTATCATTTTCTTTGAAAGTGAAAACCATATTGTGTTGCATTGGGGATGCAATTTTGCCTAGTAGGATTTAGCATATGCATAAAGGAACAAATAATAGAAGAAGATAGTGACACATCATTCTAAATAATTGAAATATACCAAAACCAAGGAAACATTACAGTTTTCTTATCTTTCTTTTTTTCTTTTTTTTTTTTTCTGTTTTATTACAATGAAATTACAACATTTTCCAAGGAAAAATATACATTTCTATTTTATAAAATATCAAATCAATAAATTATAATATAAACACGAAACACACCATCTCCCACTTTATATATTTTTAAATGATCGTCTCACCTAAAATATTAAATTTATAAAGATATGAAAAATTGTTAGAGTGTTTAAATTACAATCTTCTTACATTAATTAATGATGATATTATCCAAAAGGAATTTGAGACAAGGTACTCTTCCCGACCGGACTTAGCTATAAATGCTTCGGTAAGTTCACGTAAGGTGTCATTTTCCTACGTACTAGGCGAGAAGCTATAGCTAATTTGAAGTTGACTATCAACTATTGCCTCAAAGATGTCCCTCATTCGAATAAAATTACTCTAATTAAATGGCGAGACAATTTTTATATCACTAAACAAACATCTAAGAATATATAAACCAACAAGTGATGTATAAGCCGAGGCATCTTCCCTTGTAAGAAGGTAACAAGTAATGTATAAGCCGAGGCATCTTCCCATGTAAGAAGGTAGCGCACGCGATCAAGACACGGATTTTGTCCTGAAAAGTAGGCTTACGTGGTTTTTTAAACGTGATTTCGGGGTTTTTATTAAAAAATGAGCAATATGCATCCTAGAATCAAAGAAAAGGGGACTATATATATATATATATATCAAAGGATGTATGAATCAATTCTTGATATGAATTATAAATTATTGATTGTTTTATGTTCTTTGTTGCATATATGCTTCTTTGGATTGGATACTTTTCGCCTTTTTTTTTAATTTTATTTTAGTTCAATAATTGAATAGCCATTGTCCTTTAGAATATAAGATGCACTTGTTGTCTTGCTTTCATCACTCCAAATTTATCGATTTACTCTTAAGAGGGTTGTTCGCAATTTTTTGTTATCAATTAATTGATTTTTTTCTGTTAGTAATTAGATATGATGTCTATAGAGTTATGTTGTTGAACAATATAATAAAAATAAAATTATTGAACGATATAAAAATAAATAAATTAATTAATTAATTAAATAATGGTACACGGTAATTTAGATTAAAATAATTTCATATTACTTCCTTAGATTTATTTATTTTATTTGAAAAATAAATACGATGGTTTTTAAATATGCAAAGTCAACCAGAAATATAAATGCATTGTCTTTCATATTATTAAAATAATTTTCGATACAATGTTATTTCAAATAATTTATAATGTTAAAATACTAAATTTACATTGTAAAATATTTTAATTAAAAATAATTATAATTATTCATTTAAAATACATCATCACTTTTTTTATAATTTTTGTTTATCTCATTAAAAAATATTTATTTTCTATTATAGTCAAAGTAATTTATATATAAATATCAAAATACCCATAACTTTTATAAAAAAATATTCATTTCCATTTCTTTGTAGTTGCAATTGTTGGATTAAAAATCCAATTGTAGGTTAAATGTAACTATTTGAGCTATCAGTCAGATTAAGCCTATGTTAAGTGATCTATAAATTTATTGGGTTTAAATGTATTTAGTAAATGCGGGCCATGTGCAGAAACCCGGTAAATTATTAATTGGGTGATAAGGTCAATTAATAATAAGGGATATAAATAGGGTTGTGATCCCAGGTTTAGACGCAACAATCATTACGTTTCATATCTCATCGTGGGAGTAACGGCAGAAACCCTAGCGGTTTTCTCAGAAGGGGTTGCGCCATAGGCTTAAAGAACACAAAACCCTCCATTGTTAGCATATCCGAATTCGACTATGCTAATGGAATAAGGTCAGATTTATTTTGCTTTATTTTTATCTCAATTATGATAACACAATAGATCCTGAGCTTAGGGTAAAATTCGTGACAAGTTTCAACAGCAATGGCAAAAATATCAAAACTATTATTTTACACACTTCTACTGACTAATCAAATATTATTACCTTTGAATTAAGATAAAGGGAGTATATATTTTATTAAAATGTATATTAAAATAGTTAAATACATATTTTAAACTTATTATAATCATGAGATTAAATTGAATAAAATAACATTATTCAACCTAATATCGTATAATAAACACACTCAATATATATATATATATATATATATATATAAAGCATAGTAAGGATTAATATAATAAGTAAACGAATGTGAGTTGATGCATGGCTCATTAATTACGTATGCATGCATGCATATGCAGCTCCATTCATGCATTTTTGCCAGCTATATATTAATTAGTATCGAATATTAGAATATATACTATTTTTTGAATTAAAAAAGAAAAAAAAAAGTCAAATTAAAAATAATAGTTTGATATAATGCTTGAATAAAAAGTAAATATTAAATAGAACCTATAATGATAATTTAAAAAA